TTGAGTGGACTTCAACTCCCAGAATTCCCCAGCCAGCCATGGGGAATTCTGGGAGTTGAAGTCCACTCAAAGTGGCCAAGTTTGGACAACACTGTATTAAGCAGTTTGGGCCTTTCTTTCTTTCCCCTAATAAGAGAGCTCCTGACTCTCCGTGTTCTATGCTGTAGCATAAAGGCAGGGAAATGTGTGCATTTGCACCTTCACCTATTGAGTTAAAGCAACTGGGAATGCACAGGGGAGTGGGATGGAGCCAATGCATTTAATGCCCTTTTGCATGTGTACCAAAAATGATGGCCCCACACTGCACTCTGAATAGGATAATAGGAGTAGGATAATTGTGATTGTGTGGTTCTGTACTGTTTGGTAAGGAAGGGTTACCAAAAGAGGCCCCTGGGCAAGGCTACCACCATAACTTGGTGCAAAGATCTAGACAACTGCTGATGGCAGAAAGATGACTTTGCAGCCCAGATTATGGGAGCCCTGTGCAAGTCTACACAAGGGTGAGAATAAGTCTTTGCCAAGTTGGATGGCTATTCTGATAATTAATGGAGAAATTCTGGGCCAAGGAAAATTGCCTTAATGGGCAGAAATGCAGCAGGTGATACTTTGCCCAGCAGGGGGGTGCAATACTAGAGACAACTGAAAGGCAGATTTCTGTCATCCAATGTCACCACCCACCGAAAGGATGGCAACTATATTTACTGAGCAGTCATTGCTTTTAGAGGTGCTGCCTGTCTAAGGGATCTAGGGCAGTGTTTCTCAACCTTGTCAACTTCAAGATGTGTGATCGTCAACTCCCAGCATTCCATGCTGGCTGGGGAATTCTGGGAGTTGAAGTCCACACTTCTTAAAGTTGTCAAGTTTGAGAAACACTGCTCTAGAGTCTTTCTTTGCTTCTTTTCTGTCATTACAGATGGAATTTTGCTGTTTGCATAATTAGATGGCATCTGTGAAAGGAAAGGGCAATAGAGAGAATGCCTGGCCTTCTTTTACCTCACTTCCAAGTCAGAGCATAAGACTGAGTTTGTCTGGGCTGTCACAAACATCCCAAAACTTCTGATGTCCTGTCCCTTTGGGTCCTGCATTGCATACTATGAAAATACAGTTAGGATAGATGGGCTTTATCTCCTCCTCAGATTAGCCAAGCTGCTGTTCCTCAAGAATTTATGCTGGATGTCATATTGATTTGCAGTGTAGGAGCCATTCAATGCATAGAAGCAGACTTCAGCACTGAGGATTTTCCTTTAACTTTTTCCTCACTGGCAGTTGGTGTCAACTGGGACAGCAATATTACAGGCGAATGGTTGTGTGCGAGAGAGAGACTCATGCAAAAACATAAAAAGACTCTTTAAATCCACACTTGTCAGAAGAGTGGTAAAATGGGGAACAGAATGGCGCATACCTTGTTCATTGCACATGCATAGGTCAGGATCTCTAGAAGTAGAGTGTCTGTTGGAGGGAGTGTGTGTATTCACAAACAGGCCACAAAATTGGTCAGTCTCTGTCTTCAGCTGTGTCAGATTCAGGCAGGGCCCTGCCCTGCCCTGCCCTGCCCTAAAAAATGCTGCTGCTGCTGTTTTGCAGAGTCTCTGAGAGTCCATCAACCAGAGACAGGTATCAAAATGATTGTGGCTGATTTTGTCCTGAGGCCTGTGAGAAGTGCTCTGTGTCAGGATTATTACAGATTAAATATTCCATTGTAACCCTCTAAAACTGACCGAGAATGCTGGCCAACAGTTGGTCAAGGGCAGCCAATTAACACACCCCTTTACTTGATGAGGAAAACTGATTCTGAAGAGAAGCAATTAGCAGCAGCCGAACCATAGCAACACCTCCCCCCCCCCACCGCTTTTGTGTGTGTGGGCAGCTTCACTTGTTATGGAAGTAGATCTTAATCGAGCAGCTGGTGCTTTGGGTATCACCAGGGTCAATATAAGGTCAGAACTTTTCTGCTATTAGTTGTCTTGGACTAGCACTTGAACAAGACTCAGGATTGCTCAGGGACAAAACGCTCTGAAAGCAATGGAAATGCTGAAAGATTTTTTTCTTCTGCTGGCTAGGAACCATCTCTTAGCAAGTATGAAATGTTTAGTTATGGCCATTAATTCCTTCCACACTTGGCAAGGCTTCATTGCACTCAGTTTTGTAGCCAATTATTTTTCTTCACTATGACACTTAAAAATATGCTTATATCCTTTTGTAATCAGCAAATGGGATTGTAGTGATCTTCTTATTTCCTTTAAGGTTTGGGGAGGGAACGCCTCTGCATTTTTGCATACATGCTTACATGCTCTTCCTTCTCAATGACCACTTTGTCAGTAGGGTTGGGCATAGAAAAAAAGGCGCTGAAATGTTAGAGAAGGGGACACGTGTTACTTAGGTTAGGGACCCTTTGGCTAAACTCTAAGCTTCAGGGAGGGCTTACCTCAGAATATTTTTTAAAGCCAACAATCTCTTCCCACTGCCTGTAATGCAGAAATCTACAAACATGTTTAATTTAATTGCCAAATCCCAGACAGATAAAAGGTTTAGGGTAATATGAGTATAACAGAGTAGAGGTTGGTCTGGAGAAAAGTGGGAACCAATATAACTATCCATTTTTGTCTTGAAAGCAGCTTGGACAAAATGTGAGCTTTGCCATACTCCTTGTTCGGGCCACCTAATTAAACTGATCAGTAGCAAGTCTGTGAAAAATGAACAGAGATTACCTATTCCCATAATGCATAATTAATTTATGGAATTCATCAGTACAAAATTTGATGATGCTAGCTACTTGAAGTAGCTTTAAAAACATAAGGGATGGCCAATCAATGTCCATTAGTCTTGATGGCTAAAACCTGGATTTTTCTCTTTAGATGAAGCAGACTCCTGAGTACCAGATGCTGTGGGGAGGGGGGGGGGAAATGAATACAGAGGAGAGAGGGCCATTACCAGTATGCTTTGCATGTTAGGAACTTGCCAGGACCATCTGGTGCTGACTGAGGATGATGTAGTGTTGGACTAAATCAAGTGTAGGTCTGATCCAGCTGAACATAGATACAGGTCCTGTTGGTACCACATACTTGGTTGGGCCCAGAGGGCTGGAGATTTTCTTCACTAGTCAAGAGGAGGCTGGATTTAGCCCACAGAAGTCCTGAGTTTGGTTGGGGTTAAGCTAGTTCCCCTGAATCATTTAACTCTCCCTGTCATGCAAACCACTCACCAGAGAGTGAATTGATGTAACAGAGATCTGAGAAGCTGCAAAAACAGAGCCTAAGAACTCTTGTTTTTCTCCTGTGTAGTTTTCATTGCCCCCTCACAATTAAAGGTGCCACCAACACTAGTCATGCTACCCTGTTTGCTCTTTTATATATAAAACAGAAGAAGTGGGGATGAAAGGGACAGCTTCTCAGCTCCCTTTGAGGCATCTTGGCCACTAAAGGACAGAGCAAGCCATCCTGGGTCAGGTGCTGCTGGCCCTCAAAGTCTGAAATTGCTGGTTTGGGAGAGGAGGGGAGAGGTGAGTTGCCTGTTGATAGAAACCAGGGCAGGTCAGGTGTGCGTGTGCTGCAGAGCTGCTTGCATACCACTACACATGCTGTATGCATGCCTGCATATATGTACCAATAATCCTCCCTTTACATACAACCTAAATTCCTGGAAGATTGCTATGAAGAAAATGGAGACTATTTTCTCTCATTAAAGGAATTCCATAGTGCTGCAGTTTTGTTGTGAATGGCAATAGGGAATACACACAATTGAGTTTCTTCATTGGGAGTGAAGAGGGAACCTGTGAGAGGATCCTCTGCAACCCAGTAATTGGCAAATTGATAGGGCAGCATGGGAACTATGGAGAGTTGGGGGGTCCCAGCCAACTATGCTGAGAAAGTACAGTACAATGGTGAAGGTGTTGGACCAGGAAGGTGAGGCTGGTAGCACCCATCTGAGCCAAGCTCAGTAACTATCTTTGGGCTGGTGACTCTCAGCTCACCTCACCTTTCAGGGTTGATGTGAAGACATAGGGAGGACTCTCTGTAAGCCATCCTGAATGCTCAGAAAAAAGATGGGAGGTAGATGAAAGCAGAACTTCATAAAGCTGCAAGTAAGCATGGACTGTATGCAGCCCACTCCTGATAGAAATGTTCAAAATTTGTCCCAGAACTGCTGAACTATCAGACATTAGTAGGTGACATACTTCAAGTGTCATTTTGTATAGCTCTTTTTCTTTGGAGGTAATTGATATGGAGCACAGAGGAAAATGCCTGCATCATGATCTCTGATGTAGTATATGGAAGAGTGTACTTTTGAGGTTGTTGATAAGTTCAGCCAGAAAATAAGGGGAAATCAAGAATGGCTGAAGGAGTTGGATGTATTCTGCTTAGCAAGACTATGGTGTTAATAGGCAGGGCTTCATCAAAATAACTTTTGCTATGCAAAAAATGCCTGATGAGATCTGGGACATATGCCTCATTTCAAAGGATAAAACAAACTATTTTAATGCAGTGTAAACTGCATTTGATTAAAGCTGCTGAAAGTACAGTATTGGCTTCCATGCTTCAGGCTCAAGACCGCATCTTATATTTCTGGAATAGAAAAACTGTTCCAGCTAGGAGAAGAAAAACGCTGAGCAAGTTGGAAGAACACAGAGGGCAAATGATGCTTTCTGCTAGCATTAGTTCGATTATGATGTAATTGGAGCTTTGTTTCTAGTGGAAAGAGGATTGGAGTTGAATTTAGCATTTTGAAATATTTATGCATAGATTTCACACATAGTGATTGTAAGACTGCACGTCTGTACATTTCAGTTATTAAAAGCTGAATCCTGGGATGTATCTGCTGTTTAATCTGCCTTTGGACCAACATGCAAAATCACTTTGAAGGATGTTCAATTTTCTTTTGGATCTCACAATCAACTTTAAAAAACACTGGATTTTGAGTAAAATGTTTTTTTTACAGAATGGTGACTATTCTGGGCTATAAAGGTTGCTTTGGACAGTGTGCATGCATGCCAACTATTTCCCTCCTGTTCTCTTTGCCTTCATCATATAAATAATGAAATGGGTTATTCTGAAGGACTGCCATTATTTTCAGCTCACATGGCCATTGCTAAGAATGCTTGTACCTGGCCATGTAGCTGGAGTTTGTGGAAGAAAGGCTGAAGCAGGTTTTTGATTTTTTGCATTTCCCTTTCTTATACATATTCATATAGATATATGCGTGTGAGAGCGCGCGCACAAAAGTGGACTATTTCAGTTTGGTTCATTGGGACTTGAGTTGCTTTATTAAGCTTTTTGGAATTTTTTTTAATGAGGTTCGTCCATGGTGAAGATAAACTTCTTGCCTATTATACATCTTTTAGATTTGCAGTAGCTGGTTTCTTTTTATTATTCAATAAATGAACTTATTACATGTATCTTTCTGAATTGCATGGAATGAAGGTGGGAAATAGTAAATCCCCAGGCACTCCCACCAGGCTGGAGATGTAGTCTAGGTATAGAGGTGGTGCAAGAATAAAGGAGTTTCATGGGCAGGAATAACTGGTCTGGCAGGTCTGTCCGCTGAGTGTTAGCTGTCGGGGCCCAGGAGGAGTGCCTTTTCTGCTCTGGAACCTACCCTTCAGAACATCCTTCCCTCTGAAATTAGGTTAGCCTCAACCCTGCTGACCTTTTGTAAGATCCTTGAGGAAAATTTGGTCTTGTGCCTGGACCTGGGGCCCTGGATGTGTGATAGAGCCTATCTCTTGGCTTTATTGATGGTCATTTTATGATGCTCAGCTGCTGTTTTATTTTTTATATTATGTATTTTATCTATTTTATTGTAAGCCGCTTAGAGTCATGTATGTGAGATGGGCAGCTATATAAATTGAATAAATGGAAAACGAAGTTTGTCATTTATAGTCTTTCTTTTCAAACATGCAGTTACAGTTCTACAGACCATACTGATTCCTTACCATTCCATCCTGCTTTTCAAAACAGCTGAGTTTTGCTAGGAAGCCAAAACATCCACGTAGGACAGAATGTGGCATTACAGAAAAAGATATCCCTATCGATTCTATTCTAAGCATGCCTGGTGCAGGCTCTGGGTTATGTATCAAAAATAGACTGCATGGCTACTGTTCCATGTGTATAAAAAGCTTTATTTCTGAACTTCCTGGTATACTTGGATGAATATAAAGAATCTCAATTAAGCCATATTCGGAAAACATATCTTTTATTATTAATGTTCATATATTTTTCCCTCAAAAGTATCTAAGTTATACATTTCTCCTTGCTTTAAGTACAAGTGTTTCAAGTGTGTGTGTGTGTGTGTGTGTGTATATATATATATATATATATATGAGTGTATAGTACTGAGTAAACTGGAGCACAGAAACAAAACAAGAAGAAACAGTAATCAGAAATTACTTGGAAAAATAAGTATTTTGGTAAGGTTATGTCATCAAAGTGGTAGAGTGACTAATATAAAAAGAGCAGGCTCATTATAAAACATGGTTCCAAACATCTTATGAATAGGTAACTTGTCATGCCACATTTGTTGCATATGGTAGTGATATAGTTAGTTACACACAACTATTGCTGTCAGAGGAATTATGCACTCAAAGGGAAACTGTTGGTGTATCAGCACAGTGGCTTGGAGCTGATATAGTCCTAACTTTTGCTAACTCTTTTGCTTCCAGTGTAAGTAGATTTTACAGTAGATTCAGCCTATACACCTTATACCCTACCTATCCAAATTCAATTCATCTGTCTCTGTGTATGGAGGTCCATCAGGGAGTCTTCTAGATTTGCAGGACTGTAGAAATAAAGGAGCTGTCAAGCACTGTGTGGGCTATGCTACAGTTGGGTAGATCAGAAATTGTGCAGCTCTAAACCAGAACAGTACCAGAGTACTTCAGCTGCTTTAAAGCAGATTAGCATATTTCTTTTTTTATCCCATGGAAACCTAGCCACCTCTGGTCCTGTTCAGAACCATTTTGCAGCAATGGGGGGGGGGGAGGGGGGGCAAAAAGAGAGAGAGAGAGAGATCTTATCTAGTATATGCCAACTTGACATTAAGGGATGGCAAAGAACGTTTAGGGAGAGCAAACTACCAGCCATTCCCCAAGTTACAGGCCTGTTCTCCCCTGTCCATAGTAAATTCTCCAGTTCCTTATTTAAACTAGCTTAGACTTGGTAAGTTTAACTGCAACTGCAAAAGATGTAGTTTACATAAGAACTCCAACTTAATTTTCAAATAAATTAAAAGCCTCTTTTAATATTTACATTAAACTCTAAGAAATTATAATTATTTAGGCAATTTTTTAAAAAAGTAAAACTAAGATTTCACATACAGTAGGGGTTGGATCTCATTTGGCAAAAGTCAACTGCTCTTTCACAAGCTTCCTGGCAGATAAAAGCCAAAGAGGCATACTGGACTCTGGGACAGTGGGCAGCATTATGGGTCTTAGGGGAGCAGGACTGCCCCAAAAGATGTGTCTCTGCCAAAATAACTGAATGGTAACTCCCACTTTCCTTGTGATTCCGTCTCTTATTTCAGACTTATCTTCTAGTCCACACGACTCTGCTGAAAGCCGAATATACTTTCTAATACTTCTTTCTATATTGCTTCAGAGCTCAGGAGTTGCAGCAGATACTCCCTCAACGAAGTTATTCAAAGGCACTGATCTTTGAACTTCTCACTGTAAGAAGGAACCAGCAAAGTTGTATCCTGCCTTACGTGTAGGTGTTTCCTTTTTTAAGTGTTTGCTGTCCAGAACAAGCAGTACTAGTCTAGATTTATTTCACTATAGCTGAAATCCCAATAAATTTGAACAGGTGAAGAATTAAACTAACCTGTACATCTTTAGAATAATCTCTATCATGATTGCCTTGAACCCTTTTGTTTCCATTTGTATACAGTCTCTTGCTATACCCCCAGTATAGCTGAACCCCCCCTTTTTTTAAGGCCTAAAGAACCCCCCCCGAAGAGACACTTTAGGTCATCCTCAGTCCTGCTCATGGAATGGGAGAAGGACCTTCCTCTCAAGTTACAGCAGCTTCTTCAAATGTGGTGTGCAGAACCTTTCTTTTGTGCTATGGAATGAACTATAAAATCCACAACCAAGAATTAATTCAGGCTTGCCACTTTAGGCACCTGTGATGATTTGCACAAGAAGGTACAAAACAGGCAACTGTTATTCGTGCTGAGCTTCTCTTGCAGACCCTTATGATATGTAAGCATTACAGCTGTGTAGAGATCCAGATATGAAGGGCACAATGTGACTCAGTGCATGAGTAGGCATGCACGTAATGCCTCTTGGGAATACCTTAAGTGAGTCTTTTCCTGGGCAGGTCTTAGCTACAGAGTCAAGGGCCATGGCAGAAGCCCAGGAAGACATGGCTACTTCACGGTTTTCCCAATAGGTGCTACATGTGGGACTTCACATGCCCCACATCTTGCCTATCAACTCCAGATCTCTGCACGCCCTATTAACCATCTGCTACTTACATGTTTATTAGAGGAAGGAGTAGAGCTTATATATCTGGCCTGCAGAAATGCAGAATAATCACTAGATAACAGCAAAGAGCTATTTCTATTTTGCTGCTATCTAATAATCTTTTGCATTTTTGCATCCCAACTATGATAAGCCTACTTAAAGATAGATATGAGGCTGCCCATGAAAATACAAAGTTGTTTTTTAAGGTGGAATGTTAAACTGGTTTAATCTGAGCAACTCTGCATTACAGACCATGGGCTCAGTTAAAAACCTCTAGATTAATGCTGTGTTATTCTCCCACTCCAAAACTGGAAGATTAGCCAGAGAGATTCTAAGACCTGCGTAGCTGCACCCATTAGTGTAGTCCTCTAAGGGTGAGAACAGGTTTCCAGAAAGACACGCCATATTTTCAGGACAGTGTATAATATTTTTTGCAATGCCTCAGGAAGATCTTATTAAAAATGGGAGCACAGGTTAGAAAGGTGACTTTTCCCCCCATTGTCTTTGGGTTACTTACTAGCCGTACTAGTCTCTCCGCTACCTGCCGAGCTCTGATGTTCAAGTGAATTAATGAATGTTTCGGGGCTTATAAATCAGCTACTTACTTGATTTCTGGGGTACATAAGAATCACATCCAAGTAACCAGGTATAGAAGTTTTGATAAATTGGAAAGGAAACTATTCTCTCCCCTCCAACTTCTTCTCATCCCACCCAGATATATAAATACGTCTGGGCAGGTAATTTTGTCAATTAAGAACTTTGCAGATCTCACGCTATTACTAATTTTGTATTCTAGCATCCATCAGGCCATGTTTCCCTTTACAATTCACACCGACCACTTCAGTTGTAATATTTGAAGGATACTTCAAATATTACACCTTTCCTACACAGAAAGCATATATAGGCAACAAAATCATGATGACACCACGCCTGATGGTTGCACGCAGGATTACTGCTTATTGGGAAAAACAGCTGCCTAGTTCTGTAGAGCATCAGGCTTTCAGTGGAGAAAATTCATACATTTTGAAGCAGCCTGTAAATTGTACTAAATAGTCTCATGCAAGAAATGCGTAAGGACTGACAATGAAAAAACAGATCATCAGAAAAGACTCACCAGATTATTTTACAAGAGATAATAATATAGAATTTTTCCCACCAAAAGAACTGCATGAAAATGCTACTTGCTGCATAGCAAGTATTTGATTACAGTGGGCAGCTCCCTCATTGTTTTTCTAGTGTTGCTGTCCTTAGCTAATTAAGTAGCTAGTTACAATTAAGGCTGAAACCCCAACATCAGTTGAAACTGAGATTGCACACAGCTGCCCTATCCCATTCATAAGTGCACCAAATCTGTGTCTAGACTGCAGAACTCTAAATGACCACTAGATGGAAGCAAAGAGATGCAGAAAACCACCTCTTTGCTGCCTTCTGAAGGTTGTCAGGAACTGGTAGCCCTAATTAAATTCCTCCATGCACATCTTAGTCTTTCGCTGTACATCTTATACAATAATTGGTTTTCCTCAACGATTTTCAGCAGTAACCTTCTCTGCTGATTAAGTGCTATTTGGAACTTTGCCTGCGGCTGCTGAAATAGCCCTTTTTCTTAGCAGTAACTCTGCTGCAAAAATCCAAACGGCCTCTAGATGGCAGTAAAGAGTTAAAGATTTCTGTATCTCTTTGGATTCTTGCAGCCCAGTTATGTTAGGCCCACTCTTTCTTCCTCCTCTTTGGTTTCCTTGCCTTCCAAGAGCCACCAGGGGCTGGCTTCCTTCTAAGTCAGAGTGGGAGCAGGAATTTGAGAACAGAGGAAAAGCAACGTGTACTTATTTCCCAGTTTTCAAGTGGCAATGGCATTCTGTATATAACAAGGCAGTTCTCTGGCATAAAAGCTATTAGGCAAAGGAATGGCAGCCTCGGCATCTATTCCATATGGTACTCCTTTATTCCTCCTCCAGATATCTGAGCAACCTACAGAAACTTTATATATTATATTTATTATTTCTCTCTTAAATATAACTTTCAGTTTTATACTTTAAGTTATCTGTAACACAGGTAACAAAAAAAGCAGTCCCAATAAGTATTTACAGTTCTTGCATTGAAAAACAATTTGGCTCTGGAAGTAGCAGCGTATCTTCAATGCTTTAAGACTTCTAGATACACTATTTTACATACTCTCATTCCTCCATGGTGTCAGCTCTGGGGCTAAATGTTAATAGTCTGAGTCCAAACTACACCCTTTCAAAGTGCAAAACTGTGCTGTTTCTAGCATTTATCGGCCTCTTCTTTCAAGACCCTTTGGGGTTTGTATGGGAAGAAAGCCTTTGGGCAGACTAAGTAGAATACATGTTTTGAATGTTGTTAGATGTTTTGAATTCACTTGTGAAAAGACTCCACTCTCAACTCCTAATCCTATCTATATCTATCAAAGACTTGGGCCTATTACTAGGCTTCAAAGTCTTCAAAATACAGGAGGGAAGAATTAAAATCTGGCAAGAGTAAAAATGGAACATCATGGAAGATGCCAAACTTTGAAACATTCCCAAAATTATTGCAGTATAAAAAGTTACCTCAGCACCTCAGGAACTCCTTGGGAAAACCAAAAACCAGGTTTGGTGAAAGACTTGAAAAAGTCCTTTAATACAACGGCACTCCCAGCTGGGAAGTCCATACTGATGTCCTTGCTAGCTCTTTCCTTTGTAGAGTAACTGCTTTAAATGGATCATGGCATTCTCCTCCCATCCCACACCAGATAACAGCAATTTCTGGTAAAAAATAACTTAATTCAGGAGCCCCTATAAGACTTTTCCCCTCAAAGAGAGGCTGTTAAAAAAGAAAAGAAAAAGAACTTCCCTTCCCAGTGTACCCCAACCACTAGACACAGGGTTTCAGAGTGGCTTTTGCTTAGATTGGTGGGCTTCCTCAGCTGCTTTCTGGCCAATCCACGTTTCTATTTCTTTAAAAACAGAAGTAGTCACGTCAGGAAGCTCTTTGTGGAGGGCATGGAAGGCTTCATCATATACCTGTAGGATGCAAGAAAGGAAGTTGAAGGCACAATATATCCATGGGACACACTGCAAGTTACTATAGATAGATCCATCTTCCAATATATACCTTTCATGCCATCGTAACTAGCAATTCTGGCCACATCTTGTCCTATATTTTACCTATTCAGCCCATTTTTAAAGTATTATTTTGAATTAGGGAGCAAGAGCAAGCTTGACTTGAAGACTTTACAGTTTATATTCATAAACAGTTTTCAGATCAGATGCTTGTGTTAGGAAACAGTATAAAATGTACATATTAATACTAATGGTTTGGTGTAGTGGTTAAAGGCACTGGCCTAGAAGCCAGGAGACTGTGAATTCTAGTCCTGCCTTAGACCCCCAAGCTAGTTGAGTAACTTTGCGCCAGTCCCTCTGTCTCAGCCCTAGGAAGAAGGCAATGGCAAGCCACCTTCAAAAATGTTGCCAAGGAAACTGCATGAAAATTGTTCATGTAGTTGTTAGGAGTCAAAACTGAATAATAATTTTTGTTTATTAGGAAGGCTGGATTAACACCTTAAAAAAGTTTAACCACATACCTTTCCCCTAGTGCTTAGATGTGTTGTATGACATTGCTAAGCAGCACCAACACAAATACAAACCCTTTTTAATCTTTCTCCATTGCAACTACTTTTAGTGACCATGAATTGAATACACTGATGCAGAATTTCACTGGGCATTTCCCCTTTTATACATGTTCATGTTGCTATTTATAAATCCTTTGGAATAGCTCAGAAAATCCTGCTCTTTTGCTGGAAGAAATATGTAAATGTAATATGTATTTTTCCCATCATGTAGACACTGAGACAGAGATGACAGATCAATCAACTATTAATACCGTATTTGTCCAACTGTAAGACGATACTTTTTTCTAAAATCCTTACCCTAAAAATTGAAGGGCATCTTATTCAAGGAA